AGTTTTCTTAACAATTCTTTTTATATATTGTAAATATCTCTTGATTAATGTATATGTCTACCATATTATTCCTAAATTCCATTGTGCAGATGTATCATAATTCATTTCCTTTCTTTAAATTAAAATTTCTGATTTTTATTTATTTATTTTAATATTTATTTTATAGTTGAGCACAATATCTTTATTATCTATTTTTATGTGGTGCTGAGGATTGAACCCAGGGCCTTGCACGTGTTAAGCAAGTACTCTACCTCTGAGCCACAACCCTAGCCCCAAGTTTCTGATTTTTAATTGTTAAAAATTTTATTATAATGAACACTTCACAATAACTTCTGTTAAGCAGAATTTTTGTCAAAGAATGAGTACATCTTAAGGGCTTGTATATTTTTATATATTCACCCATACTATGTACTTCTTTCTTTTTTTAGACTTTGATGTGTAAAATTATATCTTGTTATTTAAATTTGCATTTCTTTTGATTTCTAGTAACTCTCTATACATGTCATTTATTGAACATTTTTATTTCTTTATATATTGAACCACTCATTTCTTCAGTTTTCAATTGGGATATTCATTTTTTCCCTATGGATTTTCATGTACTCTTACATATTGTAAGGGCATTAATCCTTTATCATACATATTACAGATATGATTTCTACTTTATCTTTAATTTATTATTATTTTTGACTTAAGGAAAATTTTGTTCTTTTCARTGAAAGCACATTCAGCCACCTTTAATTTTTTTTTTTACCTTTAAAGATGATGTTAATAGTCATTAATATTTTCTTCAAATATTTCTAATTTTTTGTTTTTCTTTAAGCAAATTTCAGTCTTCTATTTAAATTTTACCTTTCTACATAGAATATACGCTCCATGAGATCAGTGATTTTGTCCCTTAATCTTGTTGGCTATATTTCCATGGTGCCACATGATAGGTATCTATTACATCTTTATCAAATAAGTACTGTAAATCTTTATCTAAACTTTATATTGCTGTAAAGCATGATAGACATATGGCTTCCTTAACATTTTTAAAATTCTGTTTTTTATGACATATTTATAGTTGAAATCTATATTTTTTTCTCTATTTGGGGGATTCTTCCTCTCCTTTCCAATTTATTTCCTATTTATTTCTTCCTCATCTTTAAATCCCAGTTCTAGCATTGTTTCCATTGCCTTCTGTGATAATCCACGGACAAGGTCACATTCTGCATTTCAGCTTTTTCTAATACTATCTTTCATTGTGGTACTCAGCATGTCCTGTTTTGGAATTGTTTGTGGAATTATTTAAATGTTTGAAATGTCTCCCCCCACCCCAACCAAATAGGCAAGGGYATTACTTAGGTTTGCTCATCATACTATTCCACCACCTGAAACATATTAGGCATTTAACAAGTTGTTTTTAAATGAGTTAATTTTTTGAATAGATGAATAGTGAAAAGTAAATTGACATAAAAATTATAAGCCAATTTGTTGCATAAATTTGACCCTCCTCAAGACTTTTTTATTTTGTATTATTGGTCTTTCCCAGTTTTATTGTTCTGATTTTTAATTGTTTTGTACAGATTTAATAACTGTACCTTTAAAAACATTTTAGTATTTATTTCTGAGGTAATGGTGGCTTTCCATATATTCCCCATAATAATTCACTATGGTTTAAAAAACTTCCCAACTATTCACACATTTATTCTTCCATTTGGATTTCATAATCATGTTTCAAGTTGAAAATAAAATCTCATTGTGAGTGTTTGTGTGTGTGTGTGTGTGTGTGTGTGCGCGTGCGCATGTGTATGTGTGTGGTTGTTATAGGGGGAAAAATTGTTTTAAACATATAAATTAATTTAGAGAAAGTATATTTATAATAATATATTTAGACTTCGTATTTAGGAATCTTCCCTGCAGGTTTTATTTTCTTGAACACTTTTCATTTCCTTTTGTCAATTTAAAAATTTAATTCATATAGAATCCAAAATTTTCATGCTGGGATTTTTCTTGGACATTTTTTTGTGCAGAAAGTAGCAGGCTTAAATTTGCTATTTAGAAGGATCTGCTTCTGGGGATGGCTGGTTCTTGGCGGACATTTGGAAACTTGGCTTTAAAATATTCCCAGTGGTACTAAGCAATAGAGTTAGTATGCGATGGAAACTGAATTTTATTGTGCCAGCCTGCCTAGACTGTCTTTTTTAAACAATGTGATTTATGGTAAGCATCCACTTTTCTTCTTGGAGTTTTTAATGATTATGGCTGATCATGTAGACAGTTGTGTCTATATGTCTAGGCTCCACAAAATCCTTAAACTTTGATTCTCAAGAGGTTTTACTAGGTAGAGTCAGTATACATGTCATTGCATTTTGCTAATGAATATTGGACATTTATACATGAATTTCTCCAAATGCCATTTAATGATTCTTTTTTTCCTTTTGGTTTTATTAGAGTTCAATTTCTTTCCTTGGCTTTTCTCAATAATACAATAGTGTCATCTTCAAATGAAAATTATGTGGAGTTTTTAAAAATAATATTTATCCTTCATATTTATTTTTCTTGTCATATTACATTGATTGGATATTTCACAATTGGATTGAATGATATAACTTGACTTCAGGAACTTAATGTATTTGTTTTAGTGTTTTACATTAAACATGTTCTCTACTGAGTTTGCTTTATGTTAAAAAACTACCCTTCAACATCTGGCAAAATGATCCAATTCTTTGTTGGTTCTTAATTAATGGAAGATGTGTGTGTGTGTGTGTGTGTGTGTGTGTGTGTGTGTGTGTGTTTAAAACTGTTATTAAAAAGAGCGATTTATGTAAGTAAGTATCCTAAAGATAATAAAGGATACATGCTATTTTAAATGATTTTAAAACCTTGCTTTGGAAAAGAAGATTAATTTAAATAATTATTGGTTATGGTAACTTATTGCCACCTAAGTGACAGAGGTTAATAAGTTAATAGTAGAATGTAAGAAATGCATCCATCTTGTTATATTGAAAGTAAAATAATTTAATAGAATAATAAATAGAAAATTATTCAGGATTCTCTTGATAGTGTGTATTTTCTGAATTTCAGCAAAAATACACACACATACAGATATCCATGTATATGTATACATTTTTATATATCGGTGTGTTTTTGATATTAAAAAATCTTGCAGCATTCAGGTGTGTGTGTGTGTGTTTATTTATCATTGACATCTGCTTCCAGCTCTCACCTTTACTTTCAATGCAATATGAAATAACTATTTTTTATCCTTTTTTTTTTTGATAACAGGGATTGAACTCAGCAGTGCTTAACCACTGGGCAACATCTCCAGCCCTTTTTATTTTGAAACAGTGTCTTGCTAAATTTCTGAGGCTGGCTTTGAACTTATCATCCTCCTACCTCCCAAGTCATGGAATTGCAGGCATATGCCACCACACCCATTACTCCTTGATATTTTGACACAATTGCCAGAATATTTATACGGGTAATATTTAAATGTTAACAGCACTGACATGACATGAGATAACAGGATGTCTTATATTAATCCTTATTTCCTCTGGTCAGGATTGTTTAGATGATTTCATTTCAATAGTATTTGTTTCCTTTATTCCAAACCTATATGACAGTATAGTCAGATACTAAAATAGAGAAAAAATGTTAATTTTAAAAATCAAGTGGAACATCAGTAATTTTATGTTTTATTTATATATTTTTTAAAGTTTTCTTACTTGTGAGTGATGAAACTTTTTTGGTCTAGTAAAAAAATCTTTATCTCAGCTATATGCTACAGTGCATATCTAGAATCCCAGCTACTTGGGAGGCTGAGGCAGGAGGATCTCAAGTGTGACACCAGCCTGGGCAACTTAGCAAGATCCTGTTTCTAATTAAAATTTAGAAAGGGCTGGTGATTTAGCTCAGTAGTAGAACACCCTATGTTCAATTCCCAGTGTTAAAATAAAAAAAAWTTATCTCTTTTGCTTATTACATTTTTCTATTTGATGTTGTGGCAAAGGGAAGCATTTGAACACAAAAGAAGAAAATGCTACAGTGTGAGCACATTTTCCACCCATTTTGTACCATTGTCTCAGGTGTGAAAACCTATAAAAATTTAATATGGTATAATCATATTTAGTATATAATTATATATCATGTTTATATCACATGATATAATCATGATTATATACTAATAATAAGAATATAATTATAGTCATGGTATAATGTTAATATCATATGTATATATATATATATATATATACACATATATATATGTATAAGCTCTAGATTCTGATTTCCAACCTATGTGAAAGCACTTGTGTCTATTTTGTTGAACTATTCATGGTCTTGAAAACCTGGTCCTTTATTGGTGTTTTCCTGGTAGAATGTTTGATGACTATACGGAGGCTGGGTTAACGGGGAGAAGACAGTCACCCAGCCCTCAAGCACTGCATGGCAAGTGGGGCGGTAGGAATACAAATGAGTCCTCATGATGCTTCATGGTGATTTCTTTCAGGACTACACAAAGTCAGTGAAAGCATAGCAGGTCTATGTAACTTTGCATCACTGTTAAGGAAAGAATTGTAAAGGTTGAAATGTCTGAATTTAAGCACTGTTTCTACTCCTTCTCTAGTTATTGGCTCCACAGGTATAATGTTATTGTCTAGTATGTAAGTAGTAGTCAGGGTTCTGTATAGTGAAATGGAGCTGTGTGTGTGTATGTGTGTACATGTGTGTGTACGTGTATATGAGTGTATCCTGAGTTTTGAGGAGGTATTTTCAAGGTTGCGTCAATAATTGGTCAGATTTTCAGGGAAGGAGATGGAACATTGAAGAGATAAAAGAGAATAAATATGCAGAGATAATAAAGGGGAGGCGAAAATTTGCTGTGGCTCTGCAATCTCTATGTTGCAAGATGGAGTGAATGGATAAGAAATTTCAGGAAAGATATGGAAGTTGAGTTTTCATGTGGTGTATTAGAGATGCCTGAGTTATAGTTGGGAATACAGAGCTGGAGAATAGAGAGAATGAAGAAGATGCCTAGGCTAATGGGAGATTTGTGGTCCTCCTTCAAGCCAGTGACGGAGCCAGGTGAGAATGGGAGACCACCTGAGGAGAGCACAGAAAGTTATAAAAAGCCCTAGGAGTATCAACATATATTGCTTTATAAATATTTGATGGCCTGATTACTTTTATGAAAATGAACCCCATGTGGAACAATAGCTATGAGAACATTTTTACTTAGATATCCAAAAGATTCCATCCAACTTCCCCAAAGTAAATTGTCATGTATTAAGACAATTGAATCTTTTATGTGTAGCTACATCTTTTATGTGAGCAAGTGGACTGACTTATTTGATTGTCAGCTCTCTGGTATAGACAGCTCATCCACATAGTTGGTCTTGCTGTGCCCACTTTTGCCTCATTAGAAGGAACTCCCTATGTGGTACTTACAGAGATTTTTTTTCAACTAAATGTGATATCACTTCTTGTATAAAATCTCACCTCTTCCCTTGGCCCCTGCTAAACTTTTACCTCATTTCCTACATCTCTTTTACTCACTGGACTGTAGCTGAAAGGTCCTATTTTCTGCTCCTGCCTTGGGGCCTGTTTATATGGCAATTACTCAGTAAATATTTATGAAAGGAGTGAATGTCTCTGCCTAGATTTGTTGTGAGCAAGAAATGTGGAAAGCATAGGAACAGCTTAGTGATGTGCCTGGTGCCTTAGAGATGTACCACAAAGGCCACTGCTGACCATTTTTGCCCTTGTTTTTCCCAATCTAGAATCCTGATGTTATTCTGTCCCCTTCTGCTCCAGTCTTCCTCCCCAACTCTTCCAATCTGGCCAATCCACTGTCGTTGGATTCTCAATCCTCACAGGATATAGTCCATGTGGGTTGACCTCTCTGTTCCCTTTAGGTGGCACCCGGTATGACTGCATCCATTCCCTGGACCTTTTCATACACATCCTCTCTTGAGTACTTCTGTTTCTTTCTGATTGAACACCAGCTCTGGGTCAGGCAGTATTCTAAGCATTTTACATACATTACCTCACTTTTCGAATTTTGTTTTATTAGTATTCCTGCTCTATACTTACCAACTCGCCTAAGGTCACACCGCTACTGATTTGCAAGTTAGGATTTAAGCCCAGGTGGTCTCATTTCAGATTCCTGCCCTCTACTCTGCTTTTATATTCAGTAGTGCCTCAGTAGCAGTTTCAGGGTCACCAAGTTAACTTTCATTCTTTAATGTTTGATTCAAGAGTTTTAAAATAATATGCAGTTATAGTTTTAAAAAATTATAACAGTTTCTCCTTACCACTCTACCCTCACTTAAAGTTTCATTTCCCTTAAGGCAACTACTGTTAACAATATTTTCAGGTTTTTTTTATAAGATTAAAAAAAATTCATGGTGTGTTTGTGATTTTCTTTTCAGATTTTTGTCTTTTGAAAAGTCAGCTTATTCCCAGTTGGTAAAAATTTTCAATACAAATGGTCCAAATACAACTCTAGTACATATACATAAATATGCGCGCACACACACACACACACACACACACACACACAAAACTTGGTTTGACCCCAGGAGACAGTTGCATTTCTCTGTCCAAGGCCAATTCCTGAAATTCATTAAATTCTTAGATATTTGGGACCTATTACATAAGTTTCTGCCTGACAGAGACCTACTTTTATTTGAAAATTCCAGGCTGATTAATTCTTCAGGTTCCCAGGACTGAAACTGTTACCTGACAATTCATCTATGACTGTATCACCTTGACGCTCAGAGAAAAATGAACAACAACAGCCCTTACTGGCTAAGGAAATGGGTCTTGATGCTCTTTTCAGTGCATGGTTATATGGATTCAAGAATCAAATGTTTTTCCAACAATGCCAGGAGAGCTTAGTTTTTAGATTCTTACATTTTCTCTTCTCCCTTCCTGAGGAAAAGCTCTGTGATTTTTAATCAGCACCACAAAAATGCCTCTGTGGAAGAGGCCATACTTTTCGGCATGCAGTAGAACATTTTCCTAAAAAGTGAGGTCACCAGAAGCACAGAGCAGAGAAATCCCAGATGGCACTAATATTTGATTTCATTTTTAGCACGCTCATATTCAGCAGATGGATGGGAAGGCTGACCTCTCTGACACTTCTGCATCACTGCCTGCTACTCCAATTGCCTTTGCGAATGTTTTTTCATAAGGCTTCTCCTGGTACCTCTGAGATTGATGCCTGGTCACCTGCCTGCGTTATGCTTCATTACGCTGAGGCTCTGTATGCTGAGAGTTGCCGTATTCAATAAAAGGGGAAATCCTAGCTCATCAGTATCTCAAACTTTTCCTACAATCTCTCAGATTGTGTATGACATCTTGGAGTGTATTATTTTAGCTTTCTAGGTGTACTTTGATTTGTATCCATATTAAAACTCTCCTAATTCTTCTGCTTTCTTCTATGCCTGGCTAAATTCAAAAGTGTTTAAAAAAAAAAAAACCTCTAGAAATGGTTAAATTTAAGTGCTTCCAACACTCCTACTACACCCCAAAACCTGATTATTTTTATGTGGATATTACTGATTTCTCTCACTCTCTAAGAGTGGCCAAGAGCACAGACCTGGGTTCAAGTTTTTCATTTGCATTTTCCTCATTTTAGAGCAAGCTTTGCTTTAAAGCAGACCCAGTTTCCTTGTTTGTAAGCTAGTGCTATTATTAGGGCCAGGCAGTGAGAACTGATGTGAAAATTAAACAAGGTAATGAATGTCAAGTGGTTGTCTCAGTATCTGGCACAATCTACAATGAATGTGAATTTAAGATATGTGTAATAACTTTTTGTTGTTTTAGGTGCATTTACTGCAAATAAAATGCAAAACAAATGATGAAATAATTTAGCTTTTCTTGGATTGCAAAGAAAGTGAATTATTAGGGAAGAAGTTTTAATTATCAGATTAATGCCTTTTTAAAATCTTTCTATAAAATGATTTTTTTTTATAAATCATTAATAACCCATACCTATTTAGAGACCAACTCTGTAAATTCACGGTGCTCTGCTTCTCCTTCCCACTGTCACCAACTAGTTTATATTTCAGTGGTGTTGCTGGAGAAAAGAAGCTATCATATAGCATGAATATCTAGCAGATTTTGCTTTTTTTCTTAGCAGGTTGACCTAGGGGACCGTGCTTCAGAGTCCTTTGGAAACACTCAGTTCTAAGGAGAGATTATGTCCTTCTGTATTACAGGTGCTCATAGCACTGGCTGTTGGTACATGTTTTAATGTGTAGATGGCTTAGAAACCATTGCATATTTAATAGTCTTTTTGCTTGAATCAGATCTCTACCCAATGCACTTTTGATGGATTTAGCTTTTAGGTGCCTAGACTGCTGTTCTGTTGTGAAGCTTTCTTTAGGATGTGACCTTTTCCTTTTTACAGATCTAACATAAGGCCAGACTATGCAGACTCCAATTTCCATGATTTCAAGATGCACACCTTCACTCGGGTGACATCCTGCAAAGTCTGCCAGATGCTCCTCAGGTAAGCCTGCTCAGGCCTGTTCTTGAGTTGAAATGAACAAGTGAAATTGCTTAGTGCTTCAAGCCAAAACATTCTGAAGTAGGGATATTGTCTTCACAGATTGGATTCAACAGATCTTTCCTAGGCCTTAGACTTGGAAATACCCCTCAGGACCCCACAGGGGGAGGTCCTTTCTCTCTACTGAGGATGCTTTGAGTAGCACTGTGATCCCCGCCCCCAGCCCCGGCATTTTGCAATAATGATTTCATATAAGCAGAGTTTATCACCTTTTAATGCATCACTCTGTAATTTTACCTTTCAGGGGAACATTTTATCAAGGCTATTTATGTTGTAAGTGTGGAGCAAGAGCCCACAAAGAGTGTTTGGGAAGAGTAGACAATTGTGGCAGAGGTAATTCTGGTGGTAAGTCATGTTTACTGTTGGGATTCTGTTTTTAATGAGGACATAAAACTTGCTCAACATAATTAAGACCTATTTACTCTTAAAATGTTTATTATAAAATATCTCCTTTGTAAACTATTACACATAAGCACAGTTAGAAGATTGTTTAAGATTTGTGTGACTTTTCTACATGACTTTGGTTTAAACAGCTTAAAATCCATTTGATTTATATGTACCTTGGAAGCAGAGGTCTTCAAGAGGAACTTAGATGGCTTCATATCACCCATTTGATATGCTATCAACCCTTAAGGATGTCACTAAAAACTGTACAAATATAGTGAGCACACACATGAAATAACAGAAACAAAAACAAAAAAATAAAGAAAATATTCATTTATCTTTAGTTCCTAAATTTCTTCTTTCTCTTCTTGGATGTTTAGCTTAGACTTGCCAATGGTGTCAGAGGTAAACATCAATGAATTAATGAATTGAATACATTGTCATTTTCCAGCATTTAACAAAGAGCATACATGCTTTGGATTTTATGTAAATATTTTCCCCTTGGTTTTTAAAAATAGCACTCCATGGCCGTTACCGGAGCTGGTTGGCAATTATGCATTCAGTAGCCTTTCACTTCTCTTTGCTTCTCTGCTTCTCTTGGGCTCTCTCCCTTCTCTTTCTTTTCTGGCCTCTTTCTTCTTTCTCTTTCTTCTTCTTTCTCTTTGTCCTTTTCCCCTGAGTTTCTCTGTGTTTTATCAATAAGACCTTTCAAAATCAGTAAAACTTTTTGAACACAAGAAAGGATCTTTAACAGCTTGAGTTCAAAAGGTAGCCATGTCAACCTTTGATTTTCCCAAAGGAAAAGGTGGACATTGAATTATTTTGGATAATGTGAAGAAGAGTGAAACAGGGAATAGCTTATTTCAGAGCTGAGTTCAGAAAATGGGCGATTGTAGAAAAGGTGAATCCTATTAGAGGACCAAGATCATAGCACATTTTGCTCACTTAGCTCCTTCAGTCGACATTTTTAGAGGGCCCCATGTGCCTTTCTCTGTGCTAGGCCCACAGGGCTGCACGAGACCAGAGGTCCTGGCATTGCAAGAGCTCCTCCATGGGGTCTGCCCTGCCTCATACTGCTGGCGTTTCTTCATGAGCTCCCTCAGTCTTCAGAGCAGCCTTTCCCATGGCTGATGGGGTCCGCATGCTCTCGCAACTGGCACAGGGCTGTGAAGTGAAAGAGACAGGTTCATCCCTCACATCTGCCTGAAGGTTAAAAACAGTTTACAAAAGCTAATAGAAATATTATATACTATTATTGTTATCCTTTAATTGTCTGCCTGATACAATTGATCACTTAATTTTTTGTCATTCGATGTTTATGTTCCATTGTTTTTATCTCAGATAATTTGATATCCTGGTAGGCTAATGTGTTTTTATAAATCCCATGGCCCTGCCTTGGAGAATTGGAGTCTTTAAAGAATATGAAGTGACCCTGTAGTTGACATGGTCGTTCTGTTCTAAAAGGAGTAGTGAAGGACAGTAGTTAAGTCAAACAGAGAGGGTTGGAATCCTACCTCAGTTATCTGCTAGTTACCTGAGCTTGGAGAAATTTACCTGAACATTATGAGCTTTTGCTTGTTCGTATTCAAAATGTAAGTTGGGAAGAAGGTTGTAAGGATCCATTAGATGGTATTGATGATTACTACAGTATTTGGGTATAATAAGAACTATTTAAATCTTGAGTTGTTACAGTAAGAAGTCAGTTTGTAAAAGATATAGGCTTATTCTGAGTTTTTATTGGTTTTATAGCCTGCAGGTATTGTGGGTAAAACAAATTAATGAGCACCAAACTTTGAAATGATACATAAGTATAACATTAAAAGGTCTTAAAATTTATCTTGTATTAAACAAGTTGATAGAAACCAGTTGGGAATTCATGATCTAACAAGATCAGGGCCATGTGTATCCCCAGTGTCTGCTCATTAATTCAACATACTCTGTCTTCTGTCGTTAAATGAGTCTTTTTGTATAGGGATGTAGCATAGTAGTCAGAAAACCTGAAACTCTCTAGTCTTGTTTAGGTTTGACCAGATTCTACGGATTATTCCTTGGTTGATTTTGGATTCCAGTTACTTAACCTTTATGAATTTTAGTTTCTACCCTTATAAAATAGTGATAATAATAGCACATAGCTTTTATAATTTTTTTGCTTTTCTCTTTGTTGTTGTTGTGATGGCCGTGGTGGTAGTTGGTGCTGGTCATTGAACCCAGGACCTCATACATGCTAGGCAAGCACTCTCGCTCCAACCCAGTCTTTAAAAAAAATTATTTTAAATAAATACTTTTATAGTGTCAGGTACTGTTGTAAGTACATTGCCACTATTAACTCATTTAAAGCTGGCATTCTGAATATTCTTATTTTGTGGATGAGAAACTCAGGTGCAGAGAATCGGTAGAGTCAAGCATCACATCTAGGCGGACCAGCTTCTGGGTTTGTTCTTAAGCCGTGGACATGCTGCCAGGCATGTGAATTAGCTGTGAGGACAACATGTCAGTCTCACAGTACCTACTCTGGTATGTCATCCTGTGCTCGCTTTTCTCTGTGAAAGGGAGTAATTTTGTAAGTTTCTCAGTTTAGAAACAGTTTTGAACTTGGTTACCTTAATAAACAAATATGTTTTTAAATCTGAATGTCTCCAAGTGCTGTGAGAAAGCCAGGCAACCTGGAGGACCATACCTGCCCTTGGAAGGACTTTAGACAGCTTCTAACCTATTCCCTTATTTTAAGATGAAACTGGGTCATAAGAATTTGAAAATTTAAAAAGAAATTTGAAAATAACTCAGACTGTGAGTGCCCTGTAGATTATAAGACTTGCTTATACAGGTATCATCCATTAAAAGGTAGCACCTTGTCTAAACATTGATATATAACTCATTATAAGGCAGGAAAAAGGGTTTTTGAACCTCTGACTAAATTTGCTATTTGGAATTTTGGACGTGTTCCCTTGTGCTCTTGATCCTCTCTGCATCCCACGTTGACCTCCATTCTCCTGTGCTGTGTGTGTCTTTGCCTCTCCTCTTTCTACTTTCCATATCCTTTTCTTCTCAAGATTTTGAAGAGACCAGTGACATTGAATCTCATAGTCAGTTATTTAGGGGTCTGAAATGATAAGAACCTGCCTAAGAGGCTTCTCTTTTTACCTTCAGATCAGGATTTCTTTGGTGGTCCTTTCTTAGGGTCCTTGTCATCAGGGTGCATAGGATCTGTGTCACAGCTGCATCCACAGCTTTCTCTCCCCTGTTTCCAAGCTGGTGTCCTCCAAACATTGGAAGTCATGACATCCTGTCCTCACTTCTCCCTGACTGGCAGGTTGTAACTGTGGGTAGGGTATGAACCTGAGTCTGGTGGGTCTGGTGTCAGTGTGATGGGATAGATGCTATGTTCAAATGGCGGCAAGCCAGATTTTATGGGCTGTTTTGCAGCCTGCAAGAGTCCCAGCATTACCTTAAGTCTTGAACAGTTCTTTGTTTTGGCATCCAGGAAGCATTGCTTGCAGCAGTTCAGCAGGGTAGTTTTCTAAGACTGTCTTAGCATCTGGGAAAATGTGGGTGTGGAGGAGGGCAGGAGGAAGGACAGGATATATTAGAAGCTGGAGACATTGTTTGCTTGAATGGGGCTTTTGTATGGAGAGAGTGTTGCATCCAGGAAAACTTGACTTTGCAGAAATCATCCCAACAGGCAAATTTAAAGCAAGTGTGTAGTATTGATTTAAGGAAAACACAAGTGTTTACACAATCTGTGTTCCCACAGAATATAAATCATAGAAGGTTTGAGAATCACTCCAGCTTTACAGGACTTTRTAGATCCAATATTTAACATACTCTGTCTTCTCAAGGGATGAAAAGATTCGGATTGACTCAGCATGAGTCAGGAGTCTACTTGTGGCACAGAGAGTTGTGACTAGTAGGAATGGTTACATCATGCCAGATAGACACTGGATCGTTGGGTGGAAGTCAGTTCTATAAAGGGAAATATGTCATCTTCATTCAACAGTGACCACATTTATAGACAGGAGTCGAGAAGAGAAAAAGAGGCGCTAGTTTGTACAAAATGATAGACTCATCGAGAGGCTAAATGAAGGTCAGAGTATATCCCACTCTGCCTGCTAATTGCCAGATCACATTTCAGGCCCTACCTTTCTTGATCTTTCTCTCTCATTTTACACTATTAACCATTCTCCTTGACACTCTCCTTCATATCCATCCCATCTACCATGCCATCCTTTGGAGATCTGATTTGTTTYAGATCTTTAGCTACAACTTGGCCTTAACTACAACTAACACGTCATGTGTATAAGGCACCATCTCTACATACAGCATCTTTTCTGAACTTTGGATTTAAAATTTCCATCTTCCCCTCATATTTCCCCTCCCAGGTGTGCTGCAATGACCTCAAATACCACATATCTAAAACCACTCTTATTTGTCCCACCCTACCTCATTCTTTCCCTTTTTTTTWAATTAAAAGTCCACCATCCATACTCTCACACCAGCCTTGCCTACCCCATCTCTCTCATCTCCATTCACTAACATATTCTTCATTTTCCTTCTGAGTTTTCCTAGAATCCACTGATATGGTTTTGTTACAGATCATAATATATATAATATATTATGATCTGTAACAATATGCCTCTTCTTTCAACAACTTTAAAAGTTTCTTCTCTGCTCTTAATCTTATTCCTTCTACATAACTTTTAAAAATATCTTTAAAAATCATTTAAAATAAAGACTGGTTGTGCAAACATTTTGCTTACTCTACTTTCTATTCCTTCCAGAATAGTGCCCAAATTTCACAATATGGCCTACGGAGCTCCAGATCATTTTTCCAGTCTTATTTATTACTACTCCTCCCCAGCCAATCAAGTAACTCTTGTTTTTTTGCAGTTCCATAACTACTTTTCTCACGTTTATATATCTAAGGGTGATTTGTTTCTGTATTTTAATGTCTTTCCTTCCCTTGT